GTGCGTGCGTGCGTGTGTGCGTGCGTGTGTGCGTGCAGCACCCATCGGTGATCTGAGGTCCCCGCTGTGATCACATGTATTCAGCAGCTACAGACGGGTCGGATTTCCTGATCAGAGATGAACCGATGAGCACAGCTCAAGCTAAAGCTCTGCTGTTTCTGACGTCACACTGTTGCTCATGTTAAACACGATAAACATAAAGTCACGAGCTCGGTGTGCAGAAAAGGCCACAGACGAGTCTTTGTTACCTCGGTAACGAGCTGATGTCGTTTAGATCTCCTTATATGGTCATCTCCACAAACTGTCTGTAGTTCACCAAAACAATCAAATAGAAAACCTGAAATCATTTTGTGAGGTTTGGAAACCAAAATAAATAAAGTTATAGAGGAACTCTTATTTATAGTTTTGGATTTGTGCGATCACAGACTGTCTGAGGAGGTTTTAGGTGAACATGAGACTCAGAGTCAGCAGCTTTGACAGCTGCAGAGACGACACCACAGCAATAAAAACACTGAGATAAAACTGAACATATAACAGCTACAGACGCACAGCTTTCTGGGTGCTGCCCTTCTGTAGGCTTCCCAGAGTCGGTCAATCAGCACAAAGTGGAGACAGGAGCTAAAACATTTCAGACAGAATCAGAAAAAGATGGATTATTCTGAGTTGTGAATCATGCAAAGCTGCTGTCAGAGTCAAAGAATAAAAGCAGAGAGCGGGAGATGAGCAGAACGTTAAACATGAGCTCAGATGTTTGTTGCCTGCGTCTGTGTGTGCTGCACGAGTTTCACTGCTGTTATGATGAGCTCTGTGCTGACGATGTGTCCCGCAGGAGGTGGTGGAGCGTTTCTGCCTGACAGACGTTTCCCAGCAGTCTCTGGTGGGTCCTTAGACTGTACTCAGATATCAAAGATGGGGGCAGGAGTTTGAAGCAGACTGCTGTAATTTCATATGTGAATGTTGTTTTCTGATCAGAGACGGAGGAGGCCGAGCGAGATCCCGACTCACTGCGTCCTGGCTGACGAGGAGTTTCTGCCGTTCAAAGAAAACACCTTCGACCTGGTAGTGAGCAGCTTGGCGTGAGTACCAGAGCTCGTTTCACTGCAGCTCGTTTCACAGAAAAGGTTTGAGTGACCGACTGTTTGCTGCAGTACCAACTTCAGCCACGAGATGGCGCCTGAGCTTTTTTAATGGTTTCCTACAGTAGTGTTTTATGTCAGGTTCATGTTTTCTTGTTTTTTGTGTCTTTTTTATAATTTGTGTGTCTTTGTGGTTGTTTTCAGTTTGAACCTCGTTCTAACATCTTACTTGCTTATTCTGCGTCTCTGTGCCTGTTTCACAGCTTTTTAATAACTTCCTAAATAAAATTCAAATTCAAATTTCATTTGTCACGTACACAGTCATACACAGTACGATATGCAGTGAAATGCTTACACAACTGCTCGTGACTTAAAGCAAAAAAGACTATGAATAGGATAGGAAATAAATATGAAAATTAAAAAGGGTAAATTTAACTGGGAAGGAATAAAATAAAATATAAAAATTAAAGTTGAAAATAAAATAACTGTACAACAAAATACACAATATAGAACTATATAAGAATGTATGAAGAAATATAAATAAATATATACACAATAACAGCAGCTGTACAAGTATTAACCGGAAATGAAGAATATAGTGTCCAGTGTTGTGCGATCCACATTATGTCTTGTGCAGTGCAAATATGCTTAAAGTGATTTAAGTGATGAAGTGAAACAATGTCTAGAAAGTCCAGTGTGTGTAAGAACTGTATGTGTGGGTCAGTACTGTGTGGGGGTGTGATTGAGAGACCGTATCGCCTGCGGGAAGAAGCTCCTCCTCAGTCTCTCTGTGTTGGTCTTCAGGGAGCGTCATGCTCGGAGATGACGAGCACGTTTCCGGCGTTGGCGGTATCTTCCTGTCTGCAGCCTGTTTATGTTTCTTTTACACTGTTTAATGTAAATGAAGTCAAATATATTGATCATGTGATTTGTGCAGATTATCTCAGTCACAGTTTGAAAAGATTAAATTCATCATATATTTTTAAATGGTTGCTAATGGAACTGAAGGACACCGTGAATAAATAATAACCGATAATCATGTCGTTAGATTTTTATGTCCAGAAATGCAATGAGTGATTTTAAGGTTAAAAAATCAAATGTATGAAATAAAGTGGGTCTAGACTGAGAGGACCAGGGTTTGTTATGAACAACATGTGTGCTCATTAAAACTGCAGCTGAGCTTCTTGCTTTTCAGTCTGCACTGGATCAACGACCTGCCCGGAGCTCTCAGACAGGTGAGACGAACCTGCTGCGATACCATGACTGACTGCAGCTCGCCCGTTAACGTTTCGCTGTGCGCCGTCCTCTCAGATTCACCAGGTGCTGAAGCCGGACGGGGTGTTCATCGGAGCGATGGTGGGCGGCGAGACGCTCTACGAGCTGCGCTGTTCCCTGCAGCTGGCCGAGACGGAGCGGGAGGGCGGGTTCTCGCCCCACATCTCCCCCTACACCGCCGTCACCGACCTGGGAAACCTGCTGGGCCAAGCTGGCTTCAACATGCTCACTGTGGTGAGTCAGCGTGGCTGCATTTGTTAAACACGCAGAATGTTTTACATCAGCTCACGGTGACCTCTGACCCTTCCGCCTCTTTGTTCCAGGACATCGATGACATTCAGGTTCATTATCCAGGAATCATGGAAGTCATGACGGATTTACAAGGTACGAGCTGGGAACCATTCGTTTGAATCATGTGGTTCCTGCAACATTCAAACATGGCTCTACAGTCGCCCTCTTCACGTGGAAGCAAAGGAAAGCGAACGAGGATCTGCACCTGATGAGCGCAGAGCCAGAAATGACGACTTCAGTCTGATCACAGCGACTCTCAGAGTCGTCGGCACAGAGCTTTAGGTGACCGAGTCCCAGGACGCCGGCTCGTGGAGGTCCCTGAGTGAACGTGCTGCTTTTAGTCCTCCTTTCATTTGCCTGCAAACAGGCTTCAAACCGAGCGGCAGAGGCTCCGCCTGAATAAGAGAGCATTTCAGGATTCGCTGTTTAAGCTAAAACGGTTTGATGACCTCACTGCGGTTTGATCGCTGAACCGGTTTCGGATCTGAAGTCATTCGTGAGGCTGTTAGTTTGAACAAACTTTCGATTAAAGTTTAAAAGTGCAGTGTTCGTGATGTGCTGTGTGCAGGTATGGGTGAGAGCAACTGTGCGTGGAACAGGAAGTCGCTGCTGCACAGAGACACCATCTTAGCAGCAGCAGCGATTTACAAAGGTGAGTCTGAGCCGCTGTCTGATTGGTGCTAAATGACATGTGATACACTGATGAGTATTAGTAGCGTCAGATGTGTGGACTGGCCGATTTTGTTCGTACCGCCCGGTGCACGCGAGGGAATCGGTCTGCTCCATGTTCACCTCGTCCGAGCAGGAAGCCAGAAAAGGTGCACGTGTACAAACCGGAGGGATGAGGAGACGCGGTCGGGCTGAAAGGAGGAACAGAGGATGAAGAACACCTGATCACCCTTTAACCCAGGGGTCCAACTCCAGGCCTCGAGGGCCGGAGTCCTGCAGGGTTAGACGTGTCCTTGATCCATCATAGCTGATTTAAATGGATAAACGACCTCCTCAACATGTCCTGAAGTTCTCCAGAGGCCTGGGAATGAACTAATCATGTGATTCAGGTGTGCAGACCCAGGGTGGGATCTGAAACCTGCAGGACGCCGGCCCTCGAGGCCTGGAGTCCGACACCTCTGCTCTAGACCCTAACCTGATGCTAGGTGAGGGTTTGAAGGGATAAAGCACTTCTGAGCGTGAGCACAGGCAGCGGTGTAGGTAACAGGTGGAGGCGTGGCCTCAGTTTGAATGAGGTTGACATTGTTCTCACGAGCACGTGTGTGAGAAGGTTCTGGGTTTGAATCTGCGTCTCTGCTAACAAACAAACTTATTCGTAATTAACGATAGTTGAACAAACACTGAAGCCAGTCAGAGCCGACGCCGTGTTTCTGTTTGCTCATCAGTGACGCGTCAGGCTGGCGCTTTAGTCGCAGCGCGGCGGTTCATGTGTCACTGTGTTTTTCTCATGTGCCTGAAATGTTTCAGAGATGTACGGCAGTGAGGACGGCTCCATCCCCGCCACCTTTGAGATCCTCTACATGATTGGCTGGAAGCCTCACGAGTCTCAGGTGAGAACACCTGATGCTCCGTGCGCTTCAGTCATTTTCTGCTGCGTTCACGGTGGAGCGATCTCCATCTTTAGGACGTGAGCGTGGCAGAATAACAAACAGCTTCTGCTTTTAGAAAAACCTGATTTTAGATCCATGACTTCAGCGTTTTTTCTCTTTCAGGCCAAACCGGCGAAGCGAGGCTCGGCCACCGCGTCGTTTGGAGATTTATCAAAGACCGGCCAACCGAGCTGCACGGACCAACCGTAGAGCCTCGGAGCCGACTGTAGACGCCATATTTAATGAAAATAAAATGTTTTAGAGGCAAGAAACGTGAACTCTGATGTACAGAAGACAAATATGATGTTGAAAGAGTTTGTCTTTGACAGGAAGTTGTCTTTTAGAAATCTAAAAATAAAAGCTGACACATCTGTTCACGTGGCTGAAACTTGAGAGAAACCAAACGGTTGAAGTGGGATCGAAACACTCGAAGTCACGTTCACTCAAATATCAGACACACAGCAGCAGCTCGGCGCATGCAGACGTGGTGAAGGCGAGCTGCTGAAGTCCAAACTGAGCATGAAGAAAGGTGGTCAGTGACTGAACGTGGCACTGGTATCACTCCTGTCAGTGAGAGCAGGAAGCTGAGGCTCACACTCACAGACCTGGCCAGCAGATGGAGAAAGAGTTTGAGTTTTGGTCTGAAACTTTTGATCAGGGCTGTATCTGCAAATCAAAAACCTCAAGACCAGAGAGATCAGGCTGATCCCAAAACGGCGTTCATGAGGGTCGCCGCAGGGTGGAGCGCGCCAGGGCGAGTCCCGCCTACCTGCTGTTTAACTGGTCCCATGTGAAATAACCTAAGATGATAAAAATATGTGAATGAGGAACTTTAATACCTGCATATGGGTTTGGCAAATAACTAGAGAAGATTTTTTAAAATAGTGTTTTAAAAACATTATTTTTGTTCTAAAATCACTCTGTGTGATGTCAGCAAATTAGGAACGAGTGTTTGCAGCCGCGCCCTAACTAGCCACCCGTCACTGAGAAGTTCCTCTTTCATAGAAACGCTGCTGCCGCCGCTCAGACGCCTGCAGAGATGCTGCTCTGCCTGCTCCTGTGTGTCCACGTCTGTCACAGCGCTGCAGGTAAGAACGCCTCCGTCAGCATGTTCTCACGATTACAGCTGCAACAACGTAACACTGTTTCCTCTGGTTATCTAAGGAAGATAAAGGCTGTTATGTGACGATTATATGAAGCAGAACAAAAGGACAGAAACTGGAGTCGGTGTTAAGAGAATGAATATGAAAGTGTAGGCGCTGCTTCTGGAGCCGTTTGATCCACGTGCAGGTTTTATTTGCCGTTCGTGTGTCTCCTCTCTGTGGGGCTCGCTGTGTTTCTAACCATGAGTCCGTCTGACTGAGAAACTGAGCCTAAACACACACACATAACCACGCTTACAGCCCTGCCCTGAACCCTCGCCCGCCTCCTGCGACTCAAACGAGACCAAAACTTCCAAAATAAACTTCATGTTTTATTCACACAGACTATAAACTCATCAGGGAGGTGTTGACTAAGCTCGAGCCGGGGGCAGCAGATCGCCCCCGGCTGGCAGTACTAAGAATGCAGGTTTAAAAGGCTTCAGCATCCAGGCTGTAACATCTGGTGAAGTGGTTCTAATTGAAAAAAGAAAAGAAACATAACTCCAGCAGGGCAGGAGTCTGAGGAGAGGAGCCAATGGAGTCAGTCCTGTGGGGCTCCGCCCATGGCCCAACTGTAGGTGGCTGGGAGATAGCAGCTAGATACAGCTGGGCAGTGGAACCAAGTTCCTGCAGTCGCCCTGGGCACGAGGCGGGGGCTGGTGTTCCTGTATCCCCTCAGTCCATGAGAGAGTTGCTTCCCTGCAGCTCTGGGTCAGGGTCCTGACTGCTACATGCCAAATGCAGTTCAGATTACCTACGTGGAGTCACCTGGTGGGGTGGGACTCCATCGTTCGGCTGGGAGACGTCAACGCTCAGGTGGGCATTGACATAGTTGGGAGGGGCCTGTGTTCTGCTTCTGGACTTACATGCAAATCACAGTTTGTCCATAATGACCATAACGATGTCCACAGGCACTGGGAGGCCGGGGACACCTCCACTCCTGGAGGAGCTGCAGCTCACGGTGGTTTTAACCCCAGAACCATAACGACATCATCAAAGAGGCCAGCTTACACCTGCTGACTGTGGATCGCTTCACTGGCACAATTCACATAAACTTATTAAAGCAAACTAATCACATCTCATTTCTTATTATATGAGATAAATTCAGGTTGTAGGTTTTACTGTGAGTCTGTGCTGAAAGGGCGCCAGAGGACGTCTGCCAGTGGTCCTTTAATACACCTGATATATGCGTGACATGCACGACTGCAGCCGTCACAGCAGAGTCACGGAGACTGAACTAAACGAGAAATCAAACAAGCATTCAGAATTTTTATTATCAGGTCAACAAGTCCAGAAAACTCAAGTCTGTCGCCTTCAGGAGCAAAATGAATAAAATGCAAATATTTAAAGTAAAGACATTTCTTTTAAACCACATCGCAGAGCCGTCCATCAGGTTCGTACGCAGCTCTGAAGGCTGCTTCCTGTCAGAGAGCAGTTTGTTGGTTCCTCAGGCTCCTGAATCTCTTTATCTGAAATAAAGCATAACATGAAACAACAGACTAAAGATAGACAAAGGGGAAATGTCCTTTAAATGTTTAAAAGATGAAAATAACTGGAGGGAAGGAAGGCCGGTCAGCGTGGCGTGAGTCAGGAAGCATCTGATTCAGACATGTGACATCATCATTTCTGCTTTTTCCTTGGCAGGAATCCCCACTGTCAGCACACGGCAGCACACGGACGCTGTGCTCACCTGTCCTCATGCTCAGGGAGATGTAACCTGGAGCCGAGCTATAAGAGGCACCCGGGTGACTCTTCTCACCGTCCGTAACGGTCACGTGAACAGCAGTTCGAAGCGCTTCGGTTCCCGTAACAACAACGAGCTGCTTATCAGGAATGTGGTAGAGTCTGATACTTCGATGTATCTGTGCAATGAGAGGAAGACCGCCTATCTGAATGTGACCACAGACCCCAGCGTGGTGGATCGAACAGTCACCGGGAGAAAGGACGACCCTGACCGGAAGGTGACGGCTGCAGGTGCTGACACAGCGCCCCCCTCAGACTTGTGGAAAGTTCCTGTTGGCGTGCTGGCAGGAGCTGCACTGGTGCTGTTGTCCATGTTGACTCTGAGACTGTGGAAAGCCGAGAAAGCAGCGAGGGACACGAGGGCGGTGCTGAGCGAGGTGGTTTACGAGGAGATCGGACACGCCGACGTGGAGCCCTGCCCAGCCCCTGAGTCCAAGGTGGAAACCCCGTACTGCTGCTCTGACGTCGGCAACCAGTCAAACACCTCCACAGCACCGACTGCTCCTCTGTACAGCAACCAGTGCAGGCCCCAACCTGAAGGACACGCCTCCGACACCTGCGTGTATCACCTTACCCAGAATCCTCTGCAGATAGAAAGCAGCTGCCGGAGCTCCTCCTGACTCCTTTAAACCAGTTATCATGGGTGAGGGGCGGGTCTGACTGAGACTCCTCCCCCGCGTCCTGCTCCTCCCTTACTATCGAAGGACCATCACCTCTAAAAATTAACTTTCATTTAGTCAGACCTGAAGGCAGTGACTGAGACCATGAACCAATCAGGAAGCAGTTTACCGAGATCAGCGCTTTCCTCAGCAACTTCTATCCAATCAGAACACAGGAGCCCCTCCCACATGCCCTGGAAAGACCATTTCCATCTTTTAGATACAGTCTAATTATTTTCACGTTGCTGAATCAGTTTTACGTACAAAACGTCTTAAAATATGACGAACAGGCTGCAGCAGCAGATGCAGAGCTTTAATACTATGTGTAAATTTATAAAAGTGATCTTTGAATAAATGATGTCAGTTTATTTCAGAATCACTGCTCTTTGGAAAGCAAAATAATAATAATAATAATAATAATAATAATAATAATAATAATAATAAACTAAACCAGCAAGAAATATTCATGCTTTAAAAGCTTGCAAGTTTTTTCTGCTTACAAATGATTCAAATAAAAATTTGTTCTCAAATTTTCTCTCAGAGGCCTAATGACCAAAGAGCATCAGTTTAAGACTTTAAATATAAATTATAAGAGAAAACCGTACAAGGCACAACACACACACACACACACACACACACACACACACACACACACACACACACACACGGGTTATTCATGTCTTGTGGGGGCATCTAATTGACACAAAGGTCTCCCTAACCATCTACAATGACTACCCTCACGCTAAAACCACATTTTTAGTCTCAAAATTGGGGCTGTTGGTCCCCACGAGTATAGTAAACCTCGAATTTTTGGTCCCCACGAAGATGTTAATACACACACACACACACACACACACACACACACGTGATACGGTCCTGCGTTGCCATGACAGCGTCTTTTGTTGATAGTGGAGCTGAGGCTCAGATAGCTAACAGCTAACGTGTTTAACTCCAGCCGCAGTTTTCTGTCAGTATAATTAAAGTTTCCGGATCCCTGTGAGTCTGCGCAGTGCGGCACGATGGTGAGTAAAGTTTTACTTTAACCGGTGTTTTTTTCAGTCATGTTGTTGTTAGCATGTTAGCTTAGCCCTAGCCTGTTATCCCGATGAGCGGAACGTCACGCGCCTCTTACCCTTCCGTCCTCAGCCGCCGAAGGCTAAAAGCAAGAAGAAGGGCGGGAACGTGAAGTCTTCCACGGTGGTGGACGGTCTGTCCACGGAGGACATGTCCAAGGATCAGGTCAGAGCTGCTAACGGTGCTAACGTTAGCCTCTCACAGTGTGTGGAGGTGTGAGGGGGTCCATCAGGGGGTCCGCGGCCCGGCCCGGCCCCACAGTCCAACACGTAAAAGGCCCGATTATGATCGTAAAATAACAAGTACACTGTCCACTTCATTAGGTACACCTGTAACCTCAGCCTGAGAAAATAGATTTACCTGCAACACAGATGAAGTTTGAGGCTCTGTGTATTTCCTGCAAACGGCAGTTTTAAGCGCTACGTTTCAGTGACCTGAGCGTGTCTGACCTCCAGCTGGAGGACCACATCATCCACCTCCGGGAGGAGCTGGACCGCGAGCAAGAGGAGAAGAGCTACTTCCAGCTGGAGAGAGACAAGATCCAGGCCTTCTGGGAGATCTCCAAGAGGAACCTGGACAAGACGAAGGCCGAGCTGAGGAACAGGAGCCGGGAGAGAGATGAGGCTGAGGAGCGCCACCGAGTCGAGATCGAAGTGAGCTGCGCACGCGATCCTGGAGGTTTATTGTACCTTAACCCTGACTTTATCTCAACTTAATCTTAGTCCTGACCCGTCCTTGGTCACTGTCCAGGTCTATAAGCGGAAGCTGAAGCACGTCCTGTCTGAGCAGCACAACGCCATCACTGAGCTGAAGATGGAGGCCGTCTCTGCGTCCTCGCTGGACGAGAAGAAGCACGTGCAGTCTGAGATCGCGCTCCACAGAAACGTTCAGGGTCTGCAGGCGGAGCTCACGGAGAAGAAGTTCCACATCGAGAGCCACATCAAAGCGCTGCAGCTGGTGAGTCGCTGCCCGTAAATCGATTTGACACTTGATTTTTACACCTGGACACCTCGGTGATGTCACTTCCTCCTTGACAGAAACATCAGACGGAGCTGATGGAGCTCACCAACCACTACGAGCACAGGATCAGAGGTAAGAACACCTGTGAGCTCGGCGCCGATCAGGTGGCCTTTCAGCCCTGGGACACCGACCTCCTCCTTCCTTTCCCCCACGTGTACTAGTTCCTTCCTATTCTTTTCCCACTCCTTCCTCTCCGTTCATCTTCCTTCATAACCTCTGCTGCTGTTTCCCTCCCTGCGCAGACATCGAGGTGAAGTATCATAAGAAGATGCAGATGATGATCCAGGAGGAGAAGAAGAAGCGTCAGGTGGCGGTTGCCGAGCTCGACGAGAGGATGAAGAGTCGAGAGGCGGCTCTGATTGAGGAGCACGACCGAGCTCTGCGGAGAGTCGAGGAGCATTTCACGTCCACTCGGGAGAGACTGCTGACAGACCAGAGGACGCTCAAGGTGAGACCCGTGAGCCGGGACGGAGACTTCAAGGCTGTGACTCAGGAGGCGTGCGGTGGGTGGAGCACAGGGACACAGATTCAAGGTTTTTACACATAAAATAATATTTGGAAACTTTCATTTTCACAGACTTTGTGTTTGTTTGCAGTCCTCCAGCTTCAAAAGGTCAAAGGTAACACAGTTGGACATGAAATAGCATTTTTACACAAGATCTGATGGAGAGTTCAAAGAGTTCACGGCTGCCTGCAGGGTTAGGGTACCGAAGAAGAGCTTAGAGTTCTTCGAGAACGATCTGCTTCGTGCGACCTGTTGGGCCGCTCACATTTCAGCAGATCGGGCAGGAATGAGGATCTCGTTTCTGAGATGTTTGACCAGAACATCTTCACAGATCTGAAACTTCTGTCCAAGCGGTCTCATTGTGACTCACTTCCTGCTGTGGATACGAGTTACATAGCAGATCTTTTTAGAGCAAGTTCTTTATGAGGTAAAATATCTTCTATGTGTTTCCTGCAGAAACTGAAATTAAAGGAAACTTGCTGTTAAATTCTGGATCCTACATTTCCCAGAATGCTGCTTTTTGTTTGGGGCTCACTGCTCGATAAAGCTGAGACCTGCCAGCGGTGTGGCCGTCTGTCTTCACGCTGCGTTTCCTGTGTTTGGTAGGAGGAGCTCACGGAGGCGCAGAAGCAGCAGGCTCGGGTGTCCCGAGAGTTCTCCAAGGCTCAGGAGGAGAACAGAAGCCTGAATGAGGCTCTGCCGGAGGCCCAGCGGGATCTGGCTGAGCTGCGCCGCCGGCTGGAGGAGCACAACCGCTGCAAGGCCCAGATGCTGGTGCGTTGCTAAAAGCTCCACCTCCCCCCACCATGGCGTTGATAGGCCCCGCCCCTGCTCCTGAGGCTGCTAGCATTACTAGAATGGTGATGCAGAGCATTTTTCCTGTTAATAACTTTATAGATTGCGGCTCATTGGGAGAAAGCACCATCAGGTCACATGGTCGCCGGGAAGCTCGCCCTTATCAGAGCAGAACCTGGATAACAAAACAATATTTCTGCTCATGGCTGATGTCATTCAGAGGGAGACCCGCGACATCAATTCTGTCTTTAATGGAGATCATGTGACCACAGCTTCCAGTCACAGCTCAGAATAATCCTTCTTTATCTCATCCTCTGAAACAAGCTCCTCCCACTTTCAACTGACATTTAATATGGACGACCGGCATCAGTGTATTACAATAATAACTATTATTATTATTATAAACATAAATGAGGTCAATATTAAACTAAGCCAGTGCAGAAAACAGATTCATGACCAAACAGGTGACTCAGGAACATGAAAGCTGAGCGGCAGCTTTACGCACCTGGAGGCTTCTCCTCATAAATCATCGGTTGTTTGGATCAGCAATCTCGTTTAAATATGTCACACTGCAGACAAACGATGTTTGAGAGGGGAAATGAAGTTTATAGGATTCACAGAAAGTGTGCAACAGTTAATCTAAATTAGGCAGGTGCAGAAATTTGGGCACCAGAAAAATGACATCAGTATTTAGTAGATCCGCCCTTGGCAGCATTAACAGCCTCTAAACGCTTCCTGTAGCTTCCAGTGAGAGTCTAGATTCTGGTTGAAGGTATTCTGGACCGTTCGTTGACTGGAATCCATGCCACCCTCAACTTTAATGAGACTCCCAGTACCGGCACTGGGCCCATGGCCCCACAGCATGATAGGACCACCACCAAATTGTACTGTGGGTTCTGTTTCCACCATGCACGCCGCCTCCTGTTGTGTCCAGAGAGCTCAGTTTTAGTTTCATGAGTCACAGCAGTTTATTCCAAATTGCAGCTGGCTTTCCAGTCGTGCTGTAGCATACCTCAGGCTTCTTCTGCATTACTCTCTCATACAGCATCTCTTTGTGCACAGTGACACCATCTGCAGCCAGAAGGCATCCTTCCCCTAAACCATGATGTTGAACAGTCTTTGTTTCCAGTTGTTTGAGGCTCCCATGTTGCCACTGAGAACCTGTTCTGTTGGATTCACCTGCATGTAGGTCAAGTGTGACTGAGCTCACCAAACAAATTCTCTGTTCCAATAAAATGGTAATAAAATGGTAAATGGTCTGTATTTATATAGCGCTTTACTAGTCCCTAAGGACCCCAAAGCGCTTTTAAACTACATTCAGTCATCCACCCATTCACACACACATTCACACACTGGTGATGGCAGCTACATTGTAGCCACAGCCACCCTGGGGCGCACTGACAGAGGCGAGGCTGCCGGACACTGGCGCCACCGGGCCCTCTGACCACCACCAGTAGGCAACGGGTGAAGTGTCTCGCCCAAGGACACAACGACAGAGACTGTTCAAGCCGGGGCTCGAACCGGCAACCTTATGATTACAAGGCGAAAGGTATCGAATCAATAAAACGACAAAGGTGCATCAA